ATATATATATATATATAGGTTACTATGATAATTTGAAATGAACACTTCAGACAAAGGGGAAGTTGCTTATGTCCACACGCAGAAGAAAATGAGCAACGCAAAAAACGCCAAATCTTCACTGACGGGACTAGCAAAAATCATTCTCAAAAAATTCTGGTAGCTAAAGGCCCATAAGTTGGAACGAAAGTGCAACATTACAGTGTCGCGCTGCTGTCGCTGTAAGTGGGTTTTTGAAAATTCAAGGTCAGCGCTACGCTGATGAATTACTGTTGCTGGAGAGAAAGCTTTAGGGTTTAAGGGTTTAGAGATTTAGGAGGTGTGAAATAAGATACAGGCATTTTATGCTGGCGGGATGGAGGCCAGGGGCCCAAAACTCGGAACTTGAATCTTACAAAACATACATTGACGCTTCTGGAAGTGACACTGCTTGTCGTATAATTAAGTCTTCTATTAAAAATTTGTAGTCATGAGAACGTGCGATCAAATGAGAAAGGAACTCTCTGCCAAAGTTTATGCGAAACTATTTAGAAATAAATTAAGAGTACTGCTACAAGTACAAATAACTTAAGGCGAAAAAAGAAGTTGCGGAAGATAAGGAAATTACCTGACCAGCAAACGTAATAAGGTAATGAACATGTTCTTGAAAAAAAACTGGTGTCTGAAAGCTTTCAGACACTACTGAGGCAGACATTTCTATTGAAAAAGAATGGGCGTAAGATGGCCGCTACATTTTTCGACTGTGCTGTTTTTCCAACAACCCATGAACTTCTACAATCAAGGTTTTCATGTGATATCCCTCAACTGTGTACTCGAAGGGGGATTGCAGAGGTTCACAGCAACGTCGAGACAAGTTCTTACGCATACTCTTTTTCAATAGAAATGTCTGCCTCAGTGGCGTCTGAAAGTTAAATTCCTTTTCAAAAAAATGTTCATTATCTCACGTTTGCTGGTCGAGTAATTTCTTTATCTTCCGTAACTTCTTCTTTCGCCTCAAGCCATCTGTACTCGTAGCAGAAAGCGAGGTGGGGTAAAAGAAGTAAACACATTTCAATTCGGCTGTTTAGTGCCGCTGAAGTCTATAAGTCTTCGGTGGCAGTGGCGGTGGAGAAGTTTGATCAGCTGATGTTTTGGCTGCATCAGGTTCTGCCTGTCTGCCTAGTGGAAGTCCTCTGTGCGGCCCTGATCCGGTACTGCTGATTCTGAAAATTGTAGTGTTAGTCGGCTGACTCTACAGTAAAGAATCATTAATTTCATGCCTCAATTCATTTTTCCACTACCGTAAAGAATAATTAAGTCACTTATTTCTGAAAAGAACTACAGATTATGCTACGGCTTAAATGGTGTTCACGTCTTCCGTAATCCCCGACAGGTTCAAAACTTCCAAAGGAGACACCAACCGACACTAATGCTATTTAAAAGTAAATATCAATACTGGTATAAAACACTTTTCTTTCCCACTCACATAGCACTGGCTATTTTCAGAAGTCTAAAGAAAGTTAAAGTAAGCTTCTTGGCGCCTAAGAATACAATTTTTTTCAATATATGTCTGTTAAAAACACTGCATTATGTAAGCAAATGACAAATATTAAATTTTTTTGGGCAAAAACAACAACGGAAGCACCGTGATTTCCAAGAGTGGGCAACATGGCTTCTTATCAGAAATAAAATAAAAAACCCTTCACTGAAGAACTGCACTGTGCAGACAGCATAAAATAAAACTTCAACTAGAATGCACCGTATGATGCAAAATAACGGAAATTGAAGAGGGAAATTGGTGACAAAATGTCCTCAATGAATTTAAAAAAACCAGTTCTAAAAATCAGCACGTGTTCAACATAAATTTAACACGTAGCCTAACATGTAAAAGTGCAATCACCCAATTGTCCGTTGCTGGTCTGGAAGAGATTTTAGACTGCATTTCAGATCTGGCAAACAAATATTCTCGATTTTTACGTCCAATATGAAAAGAGTAATAAAAATACAAACCTTTTTGGTGGTCGTGGAGGTGGTGGCGTGCAACGGCTGGCCGAACGTCTCGGAAATAAAGGTGGTGGTGAAATGATTTCAACAAAATCACCTGCCTTTGAAGGAACAAAATCTGCATCGCCCGCTCCATCAGCAACATCTCTGCAGAAATACTTCTTCACTTCCATACCGACAACTTTGGATACCAAAATACTTTTTTCATAAAATGTCAGCAGGATGATTATGAAGTGAAAAACATCAAGAAAAAAAACCAACTTATTCCATATCGTGCGGACCGCATCTAGAGGAATTGGAGGAGGCAAAGCTTCCTCTTTTTTTCTTGGTGGAACTATGGGAGCAAGTGGCACCGATGAAGTGCTAGGTACTTCATTGAAATTACTAACACTAATTTTCCTATCTGAAGAAGCAGCAGGAGGGAAAATGAATCTCGTGCATTCTACAAAAAACTAATCTATAAACATGTTCCGCAAGGAAGTCGTACATAATCCGTGAGAAAAACTGTTACAATACATATTCACCACTTTTTTTTCAAAAATTGCAAGCATTCACATCTTCATCAAGTTTAGGTTACTGTAAGTAGAATTAAAACGCCCACCATTTGTAGAAAAAAACTGATGTGATAAGAAAATCTGTTAAACCAGAGCGTAAAATTACCCTTCTGTATCGAAGGAAGCCGCTGGGTGTGAACATTAAGATCTCCAGGAGATGTAGTGCTACACAGAGGGGACCGCTTTCTGGGAAAAAGTGGTGGGGGAGCCTGACTTAAATTTTCATCATGTATTCCACTGCTAGCAATATGAGGACTTGGTGGTGTTGATGATGCTTTCTGTTTTCGCAAGCGTGGCATGAGGGGTGGCGGTTTTAAGCTTGCCAACGGCGACAAAGGCCGTGGACTCCTCCACACGTCTCCTAAGTACCTGGGCGATTGACCTAAAAACTATTACTTTCAA